GCTGTCACCAGTCACCTCCTCATTTCTTTCTGTTGGCCAGCCCACAGAGGAAAGCAAGCCCCCTAACAGGCCTGCAGACAAAGACATCTTGCTCTGCTGGTTTGAGAGCAAGGCAGTGATTCCAGCTATTTCACAGCCAAATGAAACCAGATGCAGTCATTACCTGAGGTGAGAACTTCCTGAAGCCCTTACTCCCAGAAGAAACCTTCCCATTTCTTCTCAGCCATGTACATGACTTCTATTCCAAGCATTCAGGTCAGTTGGCCTTCTACCACTCCCCTGCTGAAGGCGTCCTTTCAGGTCAGAGCAGTCGGTTCTGTTCATGCAGACAGTAGATCACAGGCCAGTGACAAGGTGGCTCTGCTGCGCTAACATTTGGCTTACAGTACTCCTGTTGTCCTTGAGATGAGAAGGAAGCAAAACCACACACCCAGAGCTCTGCAGGGCATCACTCAATACCCAGGTGGTGGGCTGTACAGCCCAAGCTTCCAGCAGGGCTCCTGTACCCATTCCATTTGGGGCAAAAGGTTTATTTGCTGGATCTAGGCTTTGTTGAAGGCTGAAATCCATGCACTTGGCTGTTGGAAGGGTCTGTCTAGTTTCTGTGGGCACTGTTGCTTCAGGAGTCAAGACTCCTCACATCTCAGTCAGGTATAGCCATTAGGGTTTGCTTTCCACCACCCTCATGACAAGGACCAGCTTCACACACTCAAATTCTGGCAGAGCTATACATTTGAAGAGAATATGCTTGCCAGTCCTTCAAAGGGAAAGTTTTCCTAACCAACAGACCCTCACCGCGTATCCCTCCAAGCACCAAGCCTTACAGAACACCTGCTTTCCAACAAGGCCAAGCAAGCTATGTTCAACACCCTGTGCCTATGTGCTAGTTCTCAGGACAGGATGCCACAGCACAGGATGCTGCAGACTCGCTGCACTTGTTAGAACTGCTTTGCATCCCCGGTATCGGCACCGGAGTTATTCCAGCCTCTCTCATCTTCCCCTGTCCTATCTTGAATTTCCTGTCACTTCTTGGTCACCGTGAACTTTCCAGGCTATTGTGGAGTGCCATCGTACTCTGGGAGTAAAGAAAGCATCAAGTCAAACTCTGCACATGAGCATTTCCCACGGACTGCGCCTCTCCCCTGCTGCCACAGCCTGGTCTGGCCCCAGCTGGGCAGAAACACTGTGCTGGAGCACCTCTCAGTAGCTTCCTCACTTCCAAAAGGTGAGGCTGGATTTCAGATGCTCCTACTGAACTTCACCTGCACTTCTCACCAGCCATTTTTAAAGCCTTTCTTGCTCCCAGCTGCTGCCCACAGGGAATAAACAGACCAACCCAGCAACCGCTTGCAACAGTGATGCTCATTTGTGGATGGTGCAACATTAATGGCTCATTCTTGGCTCCAGCTTCATGTTATTCCCTTCCCGTAAGTCAGTCCACTGCACCACGTGGGGCAGCGACTCCCCACTTACCTCTGCGAACTGTCTTTTGAGAAGACAGCCACCCCCTCTTGGTCCAACAGCCAGAGCTGCACAGAAAACATTTTGCATGTCCACTCATTGCACAATCACAACCCAGATCTTACAGTCACGAAGATCCTTGATGGCTCATCCTCGACTACAGGGTGTGGTCAGTTCTTGGACTACAAGTCTTGTTCCCCAGAGGGAACACAGGCAGCAAGCTGTTGGAGGATGCAGTCCCCAGGAGCTGGGAAATTTATGCATGCTTGTGAAATGAGTGTAAGGCTGAGTCACACACGCCAGCTCCCTGCCACACCGACAAGAGGCTCGCTCGCTCCGCACCATCTGTAGCGGGAAGTCTCGCTTTCTGGTCAGCGATACCGGGAGCAGCACAGCTCCCCTAGCCCTAACCACAGCTCCAGGCGCAGCTGCTAGCTACAGCCCTGCTTCTGCATCTACCACACCTCCTCCAGAACACCCTGGCCAGCAAGAAAGCCGTTTGTTACAGCGGAAACTCATCCGCTCTCCCTGTTAACTCCGGAGGGGCTGGCAGGTCAGCGTGCGTCTGGGCAGCCTGACGCAGGCGGGGAGGACAGCAGAGTCCAGTCTGCTGCCTGGCAGAAAGCAGCATCCCATGTGTTCTAAGAACGCAATGGTGCGGCCAAATTAAGATCACAAGAACATGTAAATCAAATTATATTGGGTTTAAGGCACGACCAGTTTTACCTCTTCATTTGTCCCAGAGTACTGACTAGCAACAAAGCTGCCCAAACATACTTTGCTACCAGTAGAACCAGAAGGTACGTCAATGGTGAGGCAAAACCGGGAGGGCAAAAGGGCCGCAGCTCCAAGTCCTACCTTACGCTTCCATGGCAGGATTGGTGCTATGTTCTGATAAGCCAAGCCTTCACTTGGAAGGGAAGCTTCTAAAATGAAGCTTGACAAATTTTATAAGAATCTTTAGGCAAAAGAGGTCACAAGAGAACAAACACCTATCCCACTCAGTGACCACCCTCTTTTCTACACCCCCTGAACTCCCCTTTCTCTGTCTGCAAGCCAGACCCCCACTCTTCGGACTATAACCTGGTGACTACCACCGGAGTAAGGCAGCAGTAGACTTCCCCTGTCCTTGCTATCCCACACAACACAGCCTTCCACACACGGCAACAGACCGGGTTGGATTTGACCAGAGTCTTTGTATCCAGAGAGCGCTCCTCTAACACAGCAAAACCTGACACCTCGATGACATCAGAATTCCTCACATTTTCACTCAAGCACAGGGCAATATCCAAAAGTGAAGAACACGCACTTTATTGTACTTGTTTACACAGAACAAGAGGATGGTTTCTACTGCTTAGCCTAACCAGCTTGTTTAGATTCTTTTTTTTTAAAGTAGAGAAGTTACAGGCTATAATTTAGCCAAAGCAGTCATGCTCCAATGTCTCCATGGCTGGAGATTACATTAGAGATTGAATGGTCTCGTCCAGCTTCGCTGCATTGGCCCCAGAGAACTGCTGCACCTGTAAAGAGAGATTGCATTTCAGAATTGTCGCATTCGGTGCTTCGTAACATCAGTTGCACAGCATTCAGCCACATAACTAAATGCTACAACTAAAATTTTTTCACCCCCAGAACAGGGAGTATTCTGCAGATATTCCATCCATTCATCTCCCTTCATCCCCATACATCTTTGCATGGTGCAAAAGATGGAAGATCTGGGACAAGTGTCTATCAAGAATCACTTCCAGACTACCACAGCTGGAGCCTTCTACATGTAAAAGAAGGGAGGAGACAACTGATCCTGAACCAATGCTGTGGTTAAGACCCAAATACAGGCCTGAGGAGACTGAGGGTCACCACACAGCAGAGGTAGCTCAGTTACATCAGCTTGCTCAGAACCCTTACCAATCAAATTCTGGAAGGGTTGCTCCAAACTACCTGTCCTGGAGCCTGGCTTCTCCTCTGAGAAATGTCCTTGTTGCAACTTACAGAGCAGAAAGACAAAGGCAACGTTCATGTCTCCAACACTGCTTAGCCTTCCAGGGGTGTGAGGTACAGAGCAGACTACACTACAGGCCATGAAAGTCCTAGCTTGATACTCATGTGCCCAGAGAACTGCCCAAGTCACCCAGAGTAACAAGCCACACAAAGGGATTTAGCCTATCACCTTCACACACAGTCACATCATCATCATAATTCTTCCATTACATTATGAAGTTGTGAAAGTTTACCCTGAGAAAACCGTCAAAGATTCATAATTAGTCAATTACTCTATGATTTGGCCCCATATTCAATTGTACCAAAAGTCACCCAACATCTCACACTCACTTTTCAAGGTGCAGTTCCATCAGCCATAAGACTATCCAGGCACTGCTTTACCTTAGCAAAGCCTACTTTCAGCTTGCTTGGCAAACTAAAAGCCCAAAATAATACCTCCAGATCAGCAACTCTTTAGTTCAGGCAGATAGCCATTCACAGCTACCCTAGGCAGGCAGCCCACTATGCTGTTAGAGCACACTCTGCATCCCATCTCATCCACCTCTTGGTGGTGGAGACACAAGAGGTCTGTCTGTCCTCTGACAGGGACACAGGTACACAGCCTCTGTGCAAAAACATCTGAGCAGTGTTTCAGCTGTGTGAATCAACCCATATTAGAGACTTCTGTTTGGGTGGGATTCCATAGGCCCATATAGTCATGTCTGCTAGAACACAAGCTGCATCCATAAGAAACACTAACGAAGATCGGTAGGAAGCAGGGTGCTAGGCAAACAGACTAGCAGTCTGAACCCAGACATCTAAGCCCACTAATCTCTCAGGAAGCCTTGCCCACAAGACTGACCTGTAACACTAACTCAGTTCACTGCCTGTGAAAACAGGGTCTGGTCATCAGTTAACTGCTGGTCCATGTTACAATTACTGCGTCACTAAGGCAAACTTGCTTGCTCTCAAGAGTGTTTTCATGACAGTGGTGCATAAACGCGTTATCAAGACAGAGCAGGCTATGTGGCCTAACATTCCCAGTCGTCTTTCAAGTGTTTTGTCTGCCTGCTCCAGCTCCAAGAGCAGAGCCTACCTTCTCTCCGTTCTTGTAGAAATGGAACGTTGGCATGCATCTCACCTCACAATGTGCAGCAACATCCTGGAAGACAGAAAACCGTCTTCAGCTATGCACATCTGAAGAACATTACATTTAAAGCCCCACTAGCTGCCTTTTATTCAGGGGATGGGGCAAATCCATTACTGCTCAAAAGGAAGCAAAATCACTTCTGGTAGTCCATCACTAGCAAAACCTGTGCAGTGTTAACATCTCTCTAAAGTAAGCCTGAAAGATCCTGCCATCAGCATTTAATTCATGCAAAAGCAAAACCACACACTACACCTGTACTTTGGAAAAAAACCCAGACTTCTGCATAAAACCAGAGACGACTATTTGCACAGCTCAAGAGCCCTGTGGCAACCCTTGTGTTTCAACTCGACACTGTTCAACTTGCCCTTCAACACTGCTGGAACTGCAGCAAAGCAGACACTTCATTGCGCTGAATTCAGGACATAAAGAGGAAACAGTGCCAAGAGCAGTGGAGAGACCAGGCTGGTCACCAGACAGTTGTGAGCCATCAGTTTCAGGGAAGGCTGCATCAAAGCAGCTTAAGGCCTTTAGACTAACACTCCCTCCCAAGAGTAAAGGGTCAGTGTTCGCAAGTTGTCAAACATATGCCACAGAGGTTCAAGTGTGGAGATAACCAACACGTTTTGTTCTGTTCAGGTGTCTTCTAAAAATTCATTCTTTCCAGTGTAAGTGCTAAACCCCTGCCTCTGCTTCTCAAAGTTGAGGTGATCTCTCATTTTGTTTCAGTATCTGCAAGGACATTTTAAGAAGTTCTTTTAAAATATTCCACTTGTGTGCAGAGAGCTGCCCTCCCTCAGCATTACCCCCAACCACACCTGCGCATCATCCACATCAATTTCGATGAACACCACATCGCCATACTTCCCACACAACTCCTAGAACAAAACAAGAAACTATGTAGGTGGTGGTCCAGGAAAGCTTTCTTTCAAAATACACATTGACATGAATTGTAGGGCTGGCGCTGCTTAATCCCCAGTGAAACTTGCCTTGTTACCTTAAAGCAGCTATTTTACTGACCAGAGCAAAAACTTGTTTTCTGCTCTGAAAACTGGGAAGGTCCCCACAGAGATGATTCAAATATCACAAGACAAGTGAAAAATCTTTCTCTTACAGCCTTCAGACAAAAGACACTACAGCTTACCTCATACTTTACCAGGAGGTAACACTGCCACCTAAACACAGGTTCAGGAATTACAATAACTGTGTAGAGAAGGATAAGCATTGTTTCCAGTCGATATCCCACCTCTTGAGTAATGCAACTGTGAGGTCCCTACAGACCCCAGATACATGTAAGCATTAGGACCACACAAGTTAAACCCCATTGAAGCTCCCAGCTGTATCGGAAGTCAGTATATTTAAATCGGTAGTCTCCAAGTAGGTATTTCTGTGAATTCTCCCACTTCCAGAAAATGCTGGCAACCACATGTGCCAAAAGGAAGTTCCCTCCGTGTTACCATCAAGCAGCACAAAACCATTTGTATCTACTTCAATGCAGTTGCAAATAAAACCAGAAAGGCTACTTACACAGAAGAATGGCTTGATCATATCGCATGGTCCACACCATGCGGCTGAGAAATTAACTACTAGAAGCTTCTCACCAGCAGTTTTCAGTTCTGACTCAAATTCAGCCTATAAAAAAACCCCCAGAATTTAACACATTAATGATTTCTCCCTCCTTTCTGAAACAGTTCATACTAATCCCAAAGCTAGATTGCTCTCAGCCTTAACACTAACCATTTTGGTAGCTCTTTAAACACTTAACTGAGGTACACGTACCATCACCAAAGTGCTTCAGTATGAACCGCTTTCACCAGTGCTAGCGCCAGCCAACATCCTCAATTAGAAAAGGCCACAAATGCTCAGTCACCCCAACTCATCTGATTGTGGAAACATAAGGTAGAAATTCATCTAGCCTCTGATCCTTAACTCCGTCAGCTCTGTTTAGCATTACCCCCGAATGTGATCCTTATGGTTTTTAATAACGCATTTTCTCATTTCTGCCTTGGCAGCAGACTTCCATTTTCTTCTGCGACAGACTGTCCTCTGTGGAATTTGAAAAGAGGAAACTTTTGTACACTTCTCCAGTTTGATGCCTTTTCCAATCAATGGCTAACATTGAAGAGATGTGTGATTTAACCCTACAGCCCGTTTTCTAGAGCAACCTCACAGGATAGCCACTGTACTTATTTTGCTCAGTGAACTGACAAGTCACATCACTAGCCAAAGCAACCCTACATAGCAGCACCCAGTACTTCACAGCTTTAAGTCTATTTGTTGCACTTTGTCACATCAATCATTTTCGGACAATTCTTTGCAATTTAGAGCTCCTTTCATACTATTAACAATGTTGTCTGGCCAAAAAGTGGATGTTTTAACAGAGCTAAAAGACACTAAAAGCAATACATACTTACATGCCAGCAAGAGGCAAACAAATGTCTGGGCAGAAGCAGAAAATGCTGATCACCTACTTCCTGACAATTTCTTTCCCAAAGCAAGTACAAGCCCCTTCCAACATTCCTTAACTTCATTTTCATGGCAAAGCAAGCTTCAGGAGAGCTGTTAATATAAACTTCTTTCCAATCATGCATATAGAAGATGCTCCTTTATTCTCCCCAGCTTCACAGACCAAAGCATTAGTGTTCTGTCAGCAACAGCTAACTGAAAGGAATGTGGTTGCTGCCACATGTACACGGTGGTTGGTGCTGCAGCGCAGGAGTTAACTAATGCCAGCTCCTGCAGTCAGCCACAGTAAGTTGAGACTTCATTCTCATAAGCTATTCCCCCATTAAGGAGTGCCCGGCAGGTGAGGAGCCAAGAGTGCAGTCAAACTGGTCACAAACACATTCAACCAGCAAGCAGAGGGTCCCGCACCAGCACTTTTACATGTCAACCCATGTGAAAGTCTTCCTAAGTTCCTGGAACTTCAAATACACCTGGCATTACAGCCCCCTCTCCCCACCCCCCTTCACATTTTCCCTCTCAATGTTGCCATCTTCAGGAGTGCAGCTTCCGCATGTTGAATTCTTCCATCCTTGCATCTTTGGTATCCAGAGCCTACTCTGATGTAAGATCAGTAGCTAACACTCCGTACCACCTACTGTCAGTCTGAAAGAGATGGGAACAGCAAGTTTTCCAGTCTCTCCACACTCCCTGACTCCTGTACTGACATAATATGTATTCCTGCACCCCAATCCCAAAGTACCCTAGTCCCACCAAAGTTCAATGTCCCTGTACCCTGCTTCCCACAACTACTTATATATCCACACCCTCCCCCCCCGCCAAAGTTTCTCAGCCAAGCCTCACTCCTTCCTACCTTCAAAACCTATGGCTTGGTATGGCTTCTCACACCTCTGCATTCTCACATCACCAGCTCTTTACCGATCCCACTTCCTGCACCTGCCAAGTCAGCCATCCTTTTCTTACCCATACTTCTTCTGCCCAGCTGGGTAATGACTGTGTTCTGCTAAAGGAACTCCAGCCCTGGGACATGTTTGTCATACGGCCACACACCTCAGGTTTGCTACTGCACTGAACAGGGGGAAACCAGGAGGGTGGGACACCTGCAGGTCTCACACACCTCCAGAGACGTGGCCCCGGCTGCAGCCAGGTGTTACCCGGAACATCATCTCCCGTATCAGCTAAAACGGATGTGGGAGAGCAAAAAGAGATGCAGCATCCAAATGGGCTTACCTCCTTCAAGTTAAAAAATACTGCACTAGGGAGAAGTTCCGGAAGTTTTCCCAGAGCACTTCATTTCCCTGGAGAAAGGAAGACAGTCGCAGGGACAAGACAAGCTACTCAACCTGTCCGACTGACTTCCATAATTGTCTTCCATGTTCACTGTGAGGTGACAAACCTTCATATGAAAACCAAATCATCTTTGTTACCAGAAGGGGAACCTCCCGCCACAAGACCATCTGGTTACACTATTAGAGCATCCTGTAACTTGGCTAGCCAGCATTTTCTTCAGGTAGCACCTTACGGGGGCAAACCTCTGCCCAGCTGGTGGTTTTCTGAACATTAACTACCACCCCCCTGAGCACACACAAGACCTCGTTCTGCTTGAGTTATCCTTCAGAAAAGCACATGCTGCATTCAAACGGGCTGTCAGCAGGCCTCTGCTTCCAAGGGCCAAGTAAGAGAAAAGTCTCTAGTAAACAGAGCCTGCAGGGATTCCCAGCACCAGGTAACACCTCAAAACGGAGGCTACTGACCACAGACAGTGCTGAGAGGAGTCTACTGCTCTCCACAACAGCTAAGGTGGCTTTAATCCAAACTCCCAAATGGTATGGACCTTAGTTGTTGATTTCCAACACACATCAGGTCACCCTTGAACCCAGTCATCAGCTGACTGCCAGTGGTTACTACATAATTTAGCATTTTTTTTAATACAGAACTAGGCATAAACAGACTGAAGGTTCAACTGCCTGCACTCCCTGGCAGACACCACTGCTAGAACCATTGTCTGCATCTGAAGCCGCAAGTTTTCAGTGTTTGCTTTGACTCAAATACTAGAGAGCCAGGTAGTGTGAAGCGGAAAGCTATGGCAACACCAGCTCTAAGTTCACCGCAGAAGCTGATGGGGTATATAAAAGGCATTATGTCCCACAGTCAAACCCTGTTACAAGTTACACGAGTCACTCATCTCAAGACCACACACTTAAACCAAATGAAGTACTGCTCCTTCTGTCCACTAGCCAGGACTTGACAGGGACCAGCAAAGCAGCCATGTTTCACAAGTGAGTCAGTTTCTGAAGAGGTGTGTTAGGAAAGGGGCCACATCCAGCAGCTGTCACATTCGCACCGCTTTACAGATGTCACTCACAGAAGCTCCTGTGTGTAGTGGAAGAAGGGGCTTGCTTTGTATCAGAGAAAAACACAAACCTGCTTTACTGAAAACCAGAATTAATCCAGAAATCCCAGCTGCACTCTAGTTAAATACTTGGTGTTGCTGATGTTAAAATCCTGCTGTCAGAATGAGTGTCAAGTCCATGGTCGAGCAACAAAACCATGCTTTAATGACAGCAGGCTATTTATTAATCAATGCTCATAGCTGGGAGGACAGTGGAAGCCTAGTCCACTTTAATTTAGAGCAAGCTCTTCCTCCAAAGCCAGGATTATTATTGATTCTCCATTTGTAAGATGTTGCAGCCTCCACCAGAAACCTCAAACCTTACTCCAGAGGCATTTCGTTCACCTTGCCTTCAAGAAACTTTCTGCATTCACAGGTATTTTAGCTGCAGTCACAAGAATTAGTACGCCCACATGTCAAGCGTTAACACCTTAGAGGTCCAACAGGGAAAGTCTGCCATGCTTTTCCTTTATACAGTTAACTGACTACAGCAAAGCACAGCCTAGACACAGACTTGGATGCCATACAGCCACTCGCCATCAGTGTACTGGGTTTGCGTGGCAAGGTTTTGGTAGCAGGGGCCTACAGGGGTGGCTTCTGGGAGAAGCTGCTGGAAGCCTCCCCATGGCTGACAGACCCACTGCTGGCCACGGCTGAGCCCATCAGTGGCTGTGGTAGTGCCTCTGGGATAACGGGAAGAGAAATTGCAGTCTCAAAGAGAGAAACGAGGAATAGTCCTGCAGACCCCCAGGTCAGCAGAGGAGGGGGAGGAGTTTCTGCAGGCGCCAGAGATTCCCCAGCAGCCCGTGGTGCAAACCATGGTGAGGTCAGGTGTGCCTTGCAGCCAGGGAGAGTCAGGGAAGCAGACACCCCTCCAGCCCATGGAGGACCCCACACCAGAGCAGGGGGATGCCCAAAGGAGGCTGCGACCCCATGGGCAGCCCACACTGGAGCAGGCTCCTGGCAGGGGCTGTGGACCCCCAAGAGGAGCCCAGGCTGGAGCAGGTTTGCTGGCAGGACTTGTGACCCCAAGGGGGACCCAGGCTGGAGCAGGCTGTAAAGAACTCCAGGCTGTCGGAAGGACTCACACTGGAGAAGTTTGTGAAGAACTACCTGCCATGGGAGAATGCTGGAACAGGGGAAAAGTGTGAGGAGTCCTCCCTCTGAGCAGCAGAGAGATGTGATAAACTGACCAAAACCGCCATTCCCCATCCCCCTGTGCTGCTTGGGGGAGAAGGCAAAGAAAAGCAGGAGTGAATTTGAGCCCTGGAAGAAAGACTAGGTGGGGGGAAGGTGTCTTAAGATTTGGTTGTAGTTCTCTTTTTACTCCAGTTTGATTGGTGATAAAACATTCCCCGCCGCTCCCAAGCTGTGTGTTTTATCCATGTTAACAGCTGGTGAATGATCTCTCCTTGTCCTTATCTCATGCCATGAGCCTTTCATCGTATTCTCTCTCCCCTGTCCGGCAGGAGGGCAGTGACAGAGAGCCTTGGTGGGCATCTGGCCTCCAGCCAGGGTCAACTCTCCACAGTAAGTTACAGCTAACAAATACTCTATTGTTGTTTTTCAACCACGTCGGCTGCCGTCCCTAAGACCACATACTATTTCATCATCAGCAGAGTATTCTCCATGTGTTGGTCTAGGTTTATTACTACTCTGTAACACAAAGCCACAGATGTGTTTATACTCTCTGAACCATCCAAACAATGAGGCATCGCATTAATGTAGAAAGCACCATAACAAGGGAAATACTTCTCATGCCAGCATTTAAGTACAGGAATGGGCTCTAGTAGCCCCCTTCAAGCCT